TTTTTCAGTCCCTAGGAATTCAGTAGGAGCCCAAGGTATGAATGTGAATACAATGGTACATCAGTACTTGTTAATTGTTCTGGGAGGTTAGACAAGTACCAAACAAACCACATGACTTATCACATGACCCTTTGTTTCACTGGGAAGGACTTCCTGTCTGCTCCTTTTCCTATGTCAGCAATCTTCCCAGCATAGCCGATTTCTTGTCTGCCCTCTGTGGCCATCTCCATTTTCTTTTCAAAGCACGTTGAGTACCAGACAAACAAGTACTGTGACAACATTTTTGTGTCAAAATGTGTTGTGTACCAAATTCAACAAGTCAAGCAGTCAAGTACTGAGGTATCACTATATAGCTGAAATCAACAGAACTAGGAAATGTACCCATTTAAACATTACATATCCAATATGGGATGAATGACATCTTGCTTACCCAATGTTATTTTGCTCTTGGATTTAATAGTTTAGAATTTACCTTTCTAGCATTTATTTCAATCTCAGATCAAAAAGCATATTATTAAATGCATGCCATGTCCAAAGAAGGATCACAGATGTGCCCATAATTATATTTTGAGATGTTACAATTTTGTATGAAGCCCACAGAATACACTACAGATACATGTAGTTTCCCATCAATGATAGATGATAATCTTGAGTCGGTATAGGCAATCATCATTTAACAACCAAAATTGGGACAAGTAATGTAGTCATTAAATGAACGGTGCTTAGGTTTTTATTTCCTTTGCTTTACAGTGTCAGAAAGACATAATCCCAAACAGCCAGGTTAGTCCAAGCAGCAGGGAAGGCTTGTGGAACTTTGTCACAAGGAAGCCAGGTAAAAGGGCAAATTGTATAGCACTTTTCTCCACTCCCTGGCCCTTTAAAATGCTTATCCCAATGATGAGATTATTAACAAGAGAATGTTTGTATTTACATTCATTGGAGAGGAAGGAATTGCAAAAGAGTAAGCAGACACACAATGGGAAGAGACATTGAAACAAAAGCACTAACACCAGTAGTTTGCCTAGCAAGTAACTTAGGAGGCAAAAGGAAGCTTTCAATCTGAAACTGATTATGGTCTAATCAGTTACATGCAGCAACTGTCAGTCTAGGGTTCTAATTTAGTAATTAAGATTATAGAGCTGAATTTATTAACTTGTGTTGGAATTTTTTAGGGATACAATACTCTACCCAGAAAAGTAGCTGAAGGAGAGATACCTTCTTTAAGCAATCTGCTCTGTGAGGGGGAGAAAAAAACCCCAAGACAACGCATACTACCTGACGGTAATAGTGAATATGTTACAGAGATGGACGCTGCAAATATCATACATGCAGGCATTTATTGCAACGTTACTTGTTCATCAACGTCACAATTGCAAACAGTTATTGTCCGAGGCAGTCACTAAATATATTTTTTGTTTATGGTACATTCTACAGTGCCTTCTATTGTACATTCTGAAGCACAGCAGAAATGTTACTCTTGAGGAAGGCAGAACCATATATAGTTTCTGGCCAAATCTGATTTCTGCAGCTATTCAATTGTTCACTAAATCCATGCCTTTCAGGTGGCTGGAAAAGTGCAGTTGGATTTGGGAGATAAATAACTCTTTGAATCAAGAAAGGGGCAGCCAATCCTGAAAGGGGCAGTAATGTATTCCCTCTTGAAGGGACTTTTTTAACTTAATCCATCTACTAAATACTGGCACCTAATGGGCCCCAGATGTGTCTTCTATTTTGCAGCACCCATCCCCAAATTTGGCAGGCTTTAAGAAAAGTCCTAAGTCCTGGTTCCCTCAGGTACTAGGCCAGGGACTTCTATAACTTTGCTGGAATTATATGAGGTATTTGGCTCCCAACACGATATATTTTATATTTTGTTTTACCTTTATTATTTTCCTGCACTGAAGTTTTCAATCCTGTAACGATCTACAGTTGCTTAACAAGTTAACATATAAATTTAATAAATCACACTGGACAACTTTATGCAATTTCCTCTTTCGGAAGAATATTTTAAAGTTGATGGTGAGGATTTAGCTTCAGAGAATCCTACAGGAAAATATATTATGTAGACCCTTTCTATTCAAAGTTCAATCCTAGATGAGGCAGGAACAACATTGGCTATCCTGGTTGATAACCTCTACTACAGTGGTTCTCAACCTTTTTAATGCTGTGACCCCCAACCGGTCGTAAATCGAGGACTACTCAACCAGTCGTAAGTCGAGGACTACTCAACTGGTGCAGCACCGTTTGCAGAATGGGACTTTTGGCGGACTCAGCAGGGCAGAGACAGCCTGGACAATTACTATTGGCTTTTGAAAGCCAATAGAATTAGACTCTATTCAAGAGAGTCTATTCTATTGGCTTTCAAAATCCAATAGAATAAAAGGGAGTAGCACAGCTAAGGAAAAGGGAAAAAATGGCGGATTGCGTTGTTTGGCGACCCGTGAAATGGTCGTTCGACCCCAAATGGGGTCCCAACCCACAGGTTGAGAACTACTGCTCTACTAGGACATGAGTGCTCTCCTGAACTTATTGGACCCCTCAGCAACGTTGATATAATCTACCATATCCAGCTGGAGATTCTACTAGGAATGAGTAAGGGGCACTATTTGTGGTGGTTCTCTTATCTGAATGGATCATTCTCAATGCCTGGGAGAAGAGTGTGTCAAGTCCTTGGCTCTTCCACTGAGAGACATGTTAGAGCGTTCTCTCCCGTGCTTTTCACTAACTACACAAAACTGCAGGGAGAGTGACATATCATCAATATATTGATGATTACTACATATTGCTACCCAAACTGAGCCAAATATGTTGCAGAAATTCTAACTCAGTGTTTGGAAGCTGTAAGAATTTAGATGGCCAAAACAAGATCAGATGCCTTCATGCAGGATAGAATTATCTTTACATAATCCATCTGTTTTGATCTCAATCACTATTTTGGCTCTAGAAACTTCTGCATTCCCTCTAAAAGAGGACTGCAACTTGGAAGTCCTTCTGGAATTGTGGGTACTGCTTAAACAATAGTTGGAAGCTGTGGCCAGGAAAGCTTTTTCCCAGTTGGGCTGATGTGCCAGATGTGTGGAACTTTTTCTAGAAGGGATCTCTTAAAACAGTGATTCATATCCTCATCATTTTGAGGCTAATATATTGCCTTTTTCATGGCACTGCTCTTGAAGATGATTCACTAGCAGCAATTAATTCAGAACATAACATTTAGTAGTATGACAGCTATACTGAGATCACTACACTGATTGCTAGCAGGCTTTCAATTCTAATTCAAAGTGCTGATTTTAACCTTATATAGCTTGTCACCTATGTATTTGCAGGAGCATCTCTCCCAGCCAGAGTCTTTATCACTCTGTTTATATTCCCAAAGGATTAGAAATCATTTTATTTCAAAAGGGCTTTTAAGAGAGACAATATGTTTGGGGCACATTATTTTGAATTCTCTTGAAATACATGGTAAAGAATGTTCAAGAAAAACTTAAAAAACTCTAAACATCACATGGGAAGACGCTGAAGTACTCCCAAAAATGCTGGAGATCCGTTGCTGCTTGATATGCTACACAGCATGGGAGTATCTAATACTAATAAAAATATAATATTTATACTTTTGAGTAAACTGTCTTAAGTATAAGGATTGGTATAGAAATGTTATAATTGATGTATTTAGATTTTATAAACAGTTGTAAAACTACTGTTATATACTCAATATTTACAATACTGATAAACCAATCTCTACAGTGTAGTTTGTACTATGGTAAACATTCATCCTGATACATTAATTTGCTGCAAACTACTATTATGCTCTCCAGAATTAACCAATATCTAGATTAGCAAGATCTAATGGCCCAAGTACAAATTACACATAAGCTACATGAAATATATGTGAAAAGAATTCTGATAGGTTAAACTGGTGTCTCAACTACCTTGCTGGCTTTCAAACTTTATTTACAATATAAATAAATAGCTACGAGAGGCCACTAATTTTTAAATAGCATTCACAATTTTTTTTCACAAAGATTTTTTTTAATATAGCAGCCACTATAACTTTGTATCATTTAACAATATAGGAATTTCAATGGTGCCCCATGCGTGCTATATAAAATATGGTAGTTTTTAAAATAATGTAAGTTCTTTATAATCCTAAGTATTTAAAAGTAGCAGTAAAATTAGTTGATATACCTATTTTACCTACTAAAATGCTTGCCTAAATTAGAAATGGTCTGATGTACTCCATGTTTTCTTTTACTACACACTGCATGTTTCTTTACAGATGTCTGTGACTGTTATTACAATTCTGTACTAATTCATTCACAATAAATTTCAACTATCAAGTTCATTGAAATCTAAATAAGACTAATTTTCTTAGTTGTTACGAATTGTAATGCAAAATATCAATAGTGCAATTCTACGCTATCTTAAAAATACATTCAGTTCATTTTAATTGAAAGCTAGGGATTTTTCCAAGGTAACTATGAGTAGCTATTACTAAAAAACTGTAAGATCAAAACTGCCTACTCATATTCAACACAATGTAATAGGCTGGATTATGGCCCTTATATAATTCCAACTGTTGAAATATCTTCAATTAAGATGACAAGGCAGTCTTAAAGAAATGACAACTCTACCAAGAACTTTGACCAGATTTCGACTTCTTTCTGAAAGAACATATGTTTCCATCAACTCACACAGAAGAATAGAAGAATGTCTATACCTCTTTTATCCAATAAAATAAAGACGCTTCTTTTATCTAATGTTATCTGCTATTAGTGGGCTCACCCAAGATGTTAGCCTGAAATTAGTAATGAATTAAGTGAACCCAAACAATGTAGTAAATCCTGGTTCGGTTAACCACAGATTGGCTTAATATATGAATTACTTGAAAAGATCGTCCTCCCTTCTCCCAAAGGCCTTTCTAACCACAGCAATAGGAAGACACATTATGACCCCAACTGCGTTGAGTCGGTAAGAAAAGCGGCAACCCTCTGTTCTCCCCTCACCGGGCCCGTAGAACTTGCTGCCTTTGGTTACATCGAAGACTTTGCCGTTGACGGCCAGAAGGATGCGCGGCAACCGCGCGCCGTCGTACTCGCGCAGCTGCTCCAGAGTGAAGTCCCGCCGCTTCATGCGGGGCAAGGAGTGGGCCTGACTTTGTTGCGCCGCGCCCCCAGCTCCGATCCTTTTGCCCCAGCGCTTGTAGACCTGATAGGCCAAAAGCGTCACGATCACCAGCGTCAAGATAAATAGCATGTCGAACCAGCTTCCCCAGAGCCAGCTTCCGGACGAGGCACTCGCCGTCTCCGGCGGAGCGTCGCCGCCGCTGCTGCCGCCGTCGCCTTGCTCCGTCCTTAGCTTTCCAATCCCATCGTCCGCCATCACTGCCCAGCCAGCGCCTGCCTGAAAGGAACCGCTCCGCCCCCGTCGGGGAGGAGGGGGAAAGGCAGAGGCGGGGCACCCTCTATGTTTTTTTATTTCTTGCTCCGATTGGTTGCGATTAAGGACACGTCACCCATACTAGCTCGCGCCCAGCAAAAACGAATAAAAAACAGGTGCACGCGGCTACCCAACGGTTGAATTCCACCTTATGACAGGCTTCGTCGGAGAGGGCGGGAGAAAACACGAAATAGAAAAACGCGCCTGCGTCTGTCCTCCCCATCCCCGCCCCCTGCCTTATAGTCACAAAACCTTTGCTCTTCAGTTGCTGTCGGTCTGGGGTTTGGTGGGTGATTGTAGCTGTTGAAATGTAGACGTGCTTGATGGGCTCTGACGTTGCTGCGGGCTGAGCTCGTATACCTCGAATGCTTTTAGTTTATCTTCATTACTATAAATACGCTTCAGAGTCCCGCCCTGCAGCATAAACCAGACAGCACATAGTTGCTTAGTTGGAGAAGGATTTGCGGGGCAGAGTATCAGTGTCCTTTCTCCAATGGAGAAGATGTATAATTTCCTTCGTAAGTCTCAGCCTTATCCAACCAGGTGCCTTCCGGTTGTTTTGGACCCTCAACACCTATAATCTTCGGTGGAATTGGCTAGGGGTTGTGACTGGTGATCTCATTAATAAATGAGCTACAATTGCTGTATGAGGACATAAATAATGATTAGCAGCTCTTGTCTGCATCAGCCACATAACCCGCAAAGCACTAATATTGCTTAATATCCCAAATTTACTCTCAGTCATAATTTCCAGAGACTTTTCATAACATTTGCTAAAAGATCTATCTGTTGCTGCATAAAAGCAACTGAGAGAATTCAAAGATTTTTCCCAGTAATAGAGGATTACTTCACACTGTACATAAAAGCTCTGTATGCTTTTATGTAAAACAAATTAATTTGATTAAAAATGTTATAGTGCTTTTTTTAATGAAAGCATCTTTTATATCAAAGTATTTTAAAATTGCTTTAAAACAAAGCTATATTTAAAAATTTAGTGATTAATTTACAGAAAAAAAGTTGTAGCTGGAATGGTTGGTGTGTGTGTGTGTGCGCGCGCACTCCTCCCACTTGCGCTAAGACTGCCGCAAGGAGGCTAGCTGCCACACGGGCACTAATGGCCCCATTTATCCATGTGCATGGGAGCTAGCGGCCCTGTTTCGCATGCACATGGTTACTACTGCCACCGGCATCATGCGGGCCCTAACAACCCGTTTGTGCATGCACACAGACACTAGTGCTGCTGCCAGCGTCACTGTAGCTGCACATGCTCCGTTTGCGTATATACATGGTTGCTAGCATTGCTGCGCTGTGTGCAGCCTGTTTGCGCATGTATGGATGTGTGCACCAAATTTGCCCTCTCCCTTTCTCTCCGGGCTGCCAACCTGAAAAGTTGGGGACCTCTGACATACACTGTATGTATAGATACTGAAGATGAGACCAGATTCTACAAATCAATAGCATCTTATGTGCTGCCTGGTTTTTAGAAGATATAATGTGGAATTAGCAAACATGTTATCTGCTGATCTGGCAATTTGAACTGGTTTCACATTTTTTTGGACGGGTTAGTTTACGCAGCTTGGCTTCAGACATTTCAAGTTCAGGTGGCAGGTAAATTCTTTTCTTAAATAAATGAATAGCAATAGAATAGTTATTATCATATATTGTTTATTATTGTAATTGTTTAACAGATCTTTGACCTAAGACCAGTGACCGCTGGAAGTTATGACGGACTCCCCCAAAACTATAACAATTTATAGCTGCTAAACACCTCTGTGGTCGTTCACCTTTATGACAGATTGCTGCAGTGCCTGTCTGCCTATCTCCCCCATTCCCCCATATGGGTCTCCATAGGGTTTGGGCCTATGTCCCACTCCACCATCTCCCCCCACACTTTCCTCTTCATCTGTCAAAGGTCTCTGGAACTTGGATTAGGGAAGGGAGGGCAGGCTGCTCCATTCCTGGGCTATAGGGTGTGATCTTGGAAGTGGCTACCAGAAAATGGCAGCTGCTTCTAGGATTGTGTCATGCAGCCCAGGAATAAAGAACAATGCTCTGCTTCTCTAATACAAGCTCCAGAAAGCTCCACAGAGATCTGCAATAGTCTGGAATTCACGTTAAGGAAGCAAAACAGATAACCACATTTCAGGGCCATGTAGCATGATCTTAGAAAAGGCTGCCATTTTCTGCATGCACTCAATTCAATGCAGCCATCCAGAAAATAGTGGGTTCTTGGATTGGTCCTGTCCCCAAGAGGCAGCTGGGACTCCCCTCTCTGCTCCATTCAAGCTCAGCCCAGGAGCTGCCTATGCGCAGCCAGGCACTCCCCGGGAAGCAGTGCTAGGCTGGGTTGTGGAGTTCTGGTGCCTTGGGAGCTTGAGGGCCAGGCTATGCGCCCCTCTGCCCGCTGCCAAGGCCCCCAGGCAGCCTGCACCACCATCTGGGGACCCCTTGCGTGGCCCAAGAGGTATGGCGAGGCTCCTCCAATGAATAGTGCTTCACAAAACAGCTACCATGGTTTTCAATTGTGTTGGACAATCTCCACTATGGTCACGAATTGAGGACAAGTTTCAACAAAAAATGTTCATAAAACTCTAAATATATAATCAACAAGAATACAGTGATATTTTCGAATTTAAAAGGAGTTTGATTTCTAGTCAATAGTCTGAAATACCAGAAGATAAATAGCAAGTCCTATATACACAAAAATATATGTTCGATTCAGCATTACAAATATCTAAACTGAATTGGGATTGTGTTGATTTTTCTACTGGTAACTATGAGAGTTTTCTAGATTAACTTAGCCATCAATTAGGTGATATAAGCTTGTCCTCATTGTGCAACATAATTATGTTTTTGAATAAGGGTTTTGTGGATTAGTTTTTGGTTTTTATTGTTTGTTGTTGTGAGCCACCTTGGATAATTATGTGTAATTATGCATAAGATAGGAAGCCATAAAATTAATAACTCTTATTAGCATAAGAATAGGATGACTCTAGGAGTGCAGTGGCCTAGCAGTTAAGATGCTGGGCTTGTCAACTGGAAGGCTGGCGGTTCAAGACCCAAGTACTGCATGATGGGGGGAGCTCCCGTTCCTGTCCCAGCTCCTGCCAACCTAGCAATTCAAAAGCATGCAAATGCAAGTAGATAAATAGGTACCACTCCAATGAGAAGGTAACAGCATTCTGTGCATCTCAGCGTATAGTCATGCCAGTCACATGACCTTAGAAGCACCTTCAAGCAATGCTGGCGTCCTCAGCTAGGAAACAGAGGTGAGCATTGTTCCCTAGAGTCAGGGGAAATCTTTACCTTTTAAGATGACTTTAGAACAGGCATGTGACATTGTGCAATGTATTGGCCGGTTTTGCTATTGCCGGCAATGGGGTGGGCGCGGCTTCCACATGACGCGTCTAGCCTGTGGGCCGGCAGTTTGATACCCCTGCTTTAGAAGATGCTATAAATGACTAGTAAATGACTATGACAGCATTTTTCTCATAGTTAGCAAATGTTGATAACTTAAAACTTCTATGGTTGCATGTGCACAAAATATTAAATCCTGATGTAGCATAAACTATAGGAGATGTATTCATAAGTATTTCATCAAGTGATGTAGCAAATCAAAAAAAGCCATGATTTCTTTTTTTTAAAACAAGTTTTATTGGTTTTTCCATTTTACAAACAAGTGCTTAAGAATCAACGTGGTGGCAGGGCAATCAATTGTCCACACAACAAAGTCATACTCATAAAGTTCAGATTAAATCATTAAAAAAACCCTCTCTTTTCCCTCTAGTAACATATTATATTCAAGTTAATATATTTCAATACAACTAAATCAATCATAACAATCCTCAATAATCTTTCATCTAAATAAATCCATAAATCCAGATCCTGTGTTAAGCTTAACTATTTCAATTGCTATATTTCATATTTCTAATCTAAATACATAATTAACACTTCGGGTGTCTCCCTATTACCTTTTTCCTTAACATATTCAATAAACATTTATTAATATCATTTCTTCTTTTTTCTTATTCTTCTTTCATTACAAAGTGACTATCATTTCTAATTAAAAAAATATTAGTTCAAATTGGAAAAGAACAAAAGAACAAAGAACAAAAAACAAAGACAAAAAAAAGAAAAAAGAAAGAATACCTTTCCATTTCTATTATACTTTATAATCTATCAATCAATCCCCAATATCTGTATCAAATTTCTTTAACCTCCTCCCAAAATTACTATATCCAAAACATATTAATACATAGACAAACATCTTATTATTAAATTCAAACCTTTAATTAATTTTTATTCAATCTAACATCTTATTTAACTATCTTAAGCCATAAATCAGTCCATATCTAATAAGCCTTTTAAACCCATTGCATAAAGCCTTAAGTCACACTCTTAAATCTTATTCTAGCTTTCCTTATATGCAAGACAGGTTTCCATAATAACGCCTCTAAATCAATGAACAAATCATTTTTTATGCCTTGTAGTATCATTTGGATCAAACAAAGACATCCTCTTTTCTGTTTTAGAAACCTAGGTCCTTTGTAAGTAATCCCTTGTTGTTTTGAAGAGTCAAGTCTCCACGTTTGAAACTGTTGAATAGCAGGCTCAGTTATGTCCAACTTTGTAGATAATAGTTGTTTAAAAAGCCATGATTTCTTGATTGCAAATTTGGCTGATTATATCTATAAACTTACAAGATTTATAGTAGTGGTTTACTGTTTTGAGCAGTAGTCTGATCTGAATCAGAGACACTGTGCCTGATTGGGAAAGCTGAAGATGAAACAAGAGCCTGAGACATGATCTTGTAAGTTTATAGACAAAGTCCTATAAGGGGAGTTAACCGTAAGTTAATATTTCTTATGCTGTTAATAATGAGTGATATAAAGATTAAATAAATAGAGGGTACTACTAGGCTCTCCAAAATAGGACTCAACTGCAAAGCTAACCCAATCCCCCCAACTGTACATATCTTTAACTATGCT